ATTCCCCAAGCGGGACATGGAGAAGTAGCCCATCTGTAGCAAGCCGTAGCAGCCAAGACTGGCGCAGGTGGCGTGCAGACCGGTCAGGAGCCATGGGAAGGGAAACTAGTAGCATTGCAAATCAGCATGACAATTGCGACAGGAGGGAGTAGGCAAAATGGCTGGGGGCCTGTCTTGGAGAAGGCCAAGTGAAGAGGACTTGACACACAGAGGCCCAGGCGAGGAGAGGGGACAGTCACGTACCACGCCGAGGACCAGCTTGTTGTACAAGGTGAGGACCAAGCTGAAGCAGAAGTATGCGCTGAGCCAGGCAAACTTGACTTGAGGCAACGTGGAGTATTCGACAGGCTTCTCCTTGAGCTTCTCGGTCTGGCTGTCGACAGCGCCAGCACGAGCCTCGAGGTCGAAGTTGTCGCGGCTGTCAAGCTTCTCGTCGCCGTGCAGAAGGCCATGGCCTTCCTCGCTCCTTCGAGCCTCCAACTTGATGCCGTCTTGGCTATTCATGGTGTCGTTTATTGAGGTCGTCGTTGGCTGGTGTCAAAGATGGGTCGTGAGTCGATGGTGATCGTGACAAGGAAAGGAGGGCTGTCGGCGACGGTCGTCGGGAATGACACGTTCGGGGATTACTCGCCGAAGAGAGCGAAAGCGGGGCAAGAAATTCGAAGGTGGTGGGTGAATAAACCCAGGTAAAGACTGCAGGGCGAAGGGATGGTTGACAAGGGAAGCGAGCAGGATGCTGGTTTCGCTCTGTTCTTTGTCGACACAATCGTGCTCTCTCGTTGCTGGGACTAGAAACAAACTGAGTCAAGGCGAGCAGGTTTGGCCGGATCTATCGTGCGTTGACCCGAACGTGTCGATGCGAAGCCAACAGATGCGCTGCACGAAATGACGATGGTGACGGGGAGGGGGGATAACGCGGCGCCAAATGTTACACGAAAAGACTTTGTCCAGCCACGAGCACGCGGAGTTCGGGGTCAGCGTGAGAAAAGGAGGTCGGGAGACACGGGCCTTGGGAATTGAGAAGCAGGCGACGTGGGGTGGTCGGGTGGATTGGCAGGATGGATCGGATTGTGGGTGAAGAGCGAGCGAATGACAGAGGCGAGAAGCAGAAGGGAAGGCAGATTGGCAGTATAGACAGGCAAGCAAGAGCAAGGGGGGCCAAGACCGGGAAAGCAGGCAAGACCCAGGGAAAAGGAGTCGAGCCAAGGAATGGCTTCGTCGACCTTGCTCGCTTGAAGTCTTGGCAGGCGTGACTGGGTGTTTCGGCTGTTGATTTGCAGTCCAGCTGCACACTGTGTCGTGTCGGGGGGGGGATGGGGCGTGCCTGGCATTGGCGCGGTCCGCTGGCTTCTTTGGCTGGAATTAGCGGGCTCTGGGGGAATGAGGTTCCGGAATGCGGCAGGCTTGGGGGCTGTTTAGGGGGCCTGACGGGGGCTGTGCCGCTAAACTTCGAGGCAATCAATCCGCAGGTTAGTCAGCCGCACCAGGGCGCACGGTTTGCCGCTTTTGGTTGGGCACTACCCTTTAAAGGTGGAGGCTGGCGATGCATCCGCGGGCAGACGGCAGGATGACACGGTGAGCGACACCGTGCACACACAGTATTATGTACATGCGAGGGCCCGAAGGTAGGTGGAATGAAGGAAGACGCACAGCCAATAGTGAAAAGCGTCGTTGGATCCCTTGGCAGCCGCGTAATCTCGAGACGGACGCCAATTTTCTGAAGGAGCCGCTCAAACAGGGATGGAACCCTCGTTCTTCCGAAATCAGCATGTCAAGCCTGTCAGCAACGTGCTGCAACTTCGCAAGTTGGTCGGTCATCTGGCACAATAATCACGACTGGCGGAAACCCGACGGTTCTCGAGATGCTTCACTGGCCAGCGTGCATGGCCCGATCACCGACCGCCCGACAACCGACTGGTGAACGCCTGGGTACGCTTAGGTAGTAGGTAGGTAGGGAGGGGGGATGGCACTGGAAGCAAACTCTGGCAAAGTTAAGCTTATCCACACCCTGGCAGCAAGGACAGCCCAGGCAGTTACAAAACCGTCATCGGCGGCTGCGAGGCACGCGACTGGTTCTTCGACCACCGAGCCGGCCTTGTAGAGGGACGGGATCGGGGAGCCGCTCGAGTGCTACGCATACGGCATATCTTATTACCATCCGACTTTGCCGCTTTACCCTTACGGCCAATCCCTCGTCCCGGTCTTACCATCCCTGAGTAAGGTCCTTATCTCCAAGGGCCGCTATCGCCCTGTGCGTCCATGGCGCCGTGTTTTTATTCGCACATGCTGCGTTCCGTCCACCACACTGTACACTCTATTTCAGGCATCGCAGCGTTTGTCCATTCCCACGTTGCGAGACTCGTGAGGGAATATGGCACAACAAGAAGTCTGGGTCACCGTCAGCACGCACCAACAACAGCCAGACTGCAGGACAACATCCAAAAGAACACTTCATCAAAGCCTAGACTACGCACGCCCCGTCTCGCGTTCTTTTTCCTGATACGACCCGTGTTCCTAGATGCTAGGCCCATGGCCGATCACGCTGGACCAACGTGCTTCTACAGACAGTCCAAGGTTTTTTATGTTGCCAAGCAGCCTCTTGTCTCGGCAGACATCTGATCAGCACGCTACGACTCGGTGTGGACAGCTCACTATCGCTCAGCGTCGTAGCTCGAACTCTCGTTGCAGGTCAAAGGTTTGCCTGGAGTGGCCCTACTGTCAGGGCATTCGTGGGCCTCGACATGATCTCTAATAAGACTTGGCCTGCTCATCGACATCGACATGAGTAGGAACCCGGCCTCGCGATGGGGTGCTCCTCGTGCACACGCGTATACCAATGTAGATGACATGGAGGCTTATCAGCGATGCGCACGTTTTCTTGGCCCAGAATATGTGACTTGGTTCTCTCCGGCCCGGCAGCTGGCCAAGAGAACATCAGTCGTGGATCGCCCTGCACGCGTAAGCTCGGCAACCTTCGCGCTGGGGTTCCAGTCTTGTGTTTTGTTTTATGTCTTTCCCTCGACCGCCGCTCAGGTGGCTGTCGAGCAACGGCAGCTCCCGTTCATTCACACGAGGGTCCTTACAGACGATGCCGCACCGCAAAACAAGTACCTAGACCAGAGGAAGTCATCGGTGACGACGGCAGTATTAGCTACAGACCTCCATACGTGCGTAAGGCGCAGTGGAAACACCTCAATCTGATACCACGATCTACTCATTGTTCAAGCCGATGACACTTTTGCGCCAGGTTCCTTGCACTCGCCAACGTTGAATCATCAACAGTAGCGCGTTCAAAACATCGTGCCCTGGATTCTGCTGCTGATATGGGAAGGCGCATTCCGACCGCGTTCTACCAGTTCAAAGGGCGGTTGTTCTCACCCTTGCGCTTGTTTCAGCCTCTTCGTTAGTGGTGATCTTGACTGTTTTGTCGGGCAGTTTCAACTTGGTAAGAAATCTATCATACGTTTGCAAGCTCCTCCCTGTCGTGCACAAAAAAAAAAAAGTTACACACTAGTCGCTACTGCCTCCCCGTGGTGCGGAGGTCCTTCAGGAATGACGATTTGGGTCTCGGTACAGCTTGCCGACTCGATCAAATGTTACTCTCCATCCTACATTCCACGAAGCACTCTTTGGTGATAGGGTCTTCACTGCTTTTCTCCCGTAATGAAAACAAAAGGGATCATAGAATGAGACCCCGTTCCTCGAACGGTCTACGAGCGTCACGTCGCGCCCACCACAAATCGGAGCTCTGCAACGGACAGGTCGTCTTTACTTTCACGTCGCGGCTAGCGCTGCCAACAAACAGATGTGTCGAGCTATCGTATCCTCGGCAGTAAACAGATCTGGACCTCCGATTCTTGCAGGATGGAATGCAACAAACAAGAAAGACATCGGCAAGACGCACCTGGCAAAAGTGCGCGTCGTGTCAGAACATCTTGACAACATGGCCCCAGATACTGATGATGACTTATTCCTCATGATCGATGGTTATGACGTCCAACTACAGCTCGGACCCGAAGTATTGATACAGCGCTACTTCAAAGTAGTAGCAGCCGAAGACGAGCGCATCATTCAGCAGCTCGGGCCTGCCCTAGCCGAGGAGGTTGCCGGGCCTTTAGGGCGACACGTTGTTTTCGGCGCCGATAAGGTATGTTGGCCTACAGACCAGACGCGGCCAGGCTCTGGGCCATCCCGCCGGTTTCAGGCATGGATGACCGGATGTTCGGGTCCCTGACTGAGTCGGGCGACATGGCCTTACTCCGTCCACGCTGGCTGAATAGCGGTACGATCATGGGCCCGGTGAAGGAGGTTCGCAGTCTCTTTCAAGCCACTCTTGCGCACATCAATGCTACTTACAGGCCAGATTATGAGTTTTGCGAGAGCGATCAGTTCTACATGACCAAATTCTAGGGGCTTCAGGAACTTGGCCGCATCAACGCACAGTTGGAAGAGGACTCAGGAGCGAAGCATCCGAGTCATGTTAACGATGCCTTATGGCCCAAGTTTGGGCCCAAGTCCAATCATCACATCGCTATCGACTACTGGAGCAATCTCTTCCAGACATGGGCCGGCTACACTGAATACGTTGACTGGCGCACGTTTGATAGACCTGGTCACGCCTTTACCGTGGACCAGAATGTTCGGGCCGAGGCCACATTCAGACCATGGGACCTTCACCTTGCCGGAGACGCCATGCGTGCAGTTCACCGCATATTTGCCGCTGCAAAACGTTCTACCCTCATGGGAAAGACGTCAGATGAGCTCATTCTCGAGTCGCAATTTGGCTCTAACATCATTACGAAGACGACAATGCCAATTTATCACTGCACAGGGGCCAAGGATGCGCTGGAGGCATTTTGGCCGCGATGTGGTTCTTCCCATACATCAGAAGTCTTATGACATCAGCCATAGCTTCCTGCAGAGCTGGCGAGGCATACACGCCGCGGCCTGTCGATGGTAGGATGTGGTACCTAGCGCTGCCGTACCCGGAGAATATTCGTCTCGACGATACGGGCGCGTGGTCAGATGGCAGCGCTGATTCGGGAGAAGTGGAGTGGCTCTCATTTGAGACGCTATGCAGACCGTTTGAGGAGGATATATTTGGATGATCTCTTTCGACATGGCACGATTGTGAATCAACATGAATTATGATGTGCATCATAGCCCTTTTCACGTCGCTTTTGAGAGGACAACTGTCAGAATTTACACATGGACCATGTCCAACATTGACAGGTCCCTCTAATGCGGCCGCTGTTCCGAAAGCGGAAGTTGCTGTTCTCGTCAAATCCACGATGTCTCCACTAGTGCTGCGTCGCTTACACGACGCCGCAAACCCTCGTGGTTCAGCCCGCAATTTGTCGCCCTTGAGAATTGCCCCTGCTGACCTGTCCACTCTTCAGCCAGGGATACTTCCAATCGCCTCCCCATTTTCCCCTTGCGCGAAAACGTGCCTTCTTGAGTCCTGCACTGTAATATTCCTCGGATCCTGGGTCTATTGGTTCATGAATGGGCTCAAGTTAGTAGTCAGACAGCTCGGATGACGACATACCCCGTATTCCGCTCGACATGCTGGAGGGTGTCGGCCGAGTGAGCACGGATAAGCCTCGTTCGTAGGGCTGGAGTAGTAAAAAAAGAAATCAACAGACATCACGAGGCACTTAGTGCGCGCGTTCTTAGCCTGGGCCTGATGGGCGGCATACACGAGTTCGGGCTATGGTTCTCTTTTTAGCCCCAGAGTGTTGAAAGTCTCCGGTGATAGAGGTCAGCTCCAAGAGCCAGGGGGCTAATGGAGCTGTACTCTCATTCTTCGGGGATGGTGCTTCGGAATAGGGGTGATTGCGGCTGATGAAGTCTATTCAATTACCGTCATCATGTGCGTGTCAATCTAACGAGCTATCGAAGCAGTCTTGTCAGACCACCCATTGTATTTTAGGTAAAATCGGTATTCCAGGCATGTTCAGGGCAAGGTGCTCAGAGGGAAGTGAGGTCGTTCAATGCTTCTCGTCGACAGAAGAAGCATTTTCGGCGTACTCTCACACACTCCTCCCTGCCATCAACTCCAGCAACTGCTCTTCGAACATTTCCATCGGCTCCTCTGACAGGACCGTCTCGGGCGGTTCTTCATTGCCGACATAAGTCCATACCCAGTGCGATCGCGACTGCGACTCCGACTCCGGGGCCCCTTCCGTCAAACGTAAGTCGCTCCGCCTGGCCAATTTCCACCTGCCAGCGAATGCAGGGCAGGCCCAGATGGTCTTGCTATCAACGTCCGTGCCACCACATGCTAAACGCACCCTGACCGATGCGTGCACACGCTCGTTTGTGTCCTCGAGCCATGCTGAGGTCGGTCGTCCCGTTCGAGGGTTTGTGACGTGATTGAGGCTAGGAGAACGATATCTTCGGCCAGCGAGGCGCCATACGAGGCCATGAGCACGGTAAATTGTCCCGAGGGCCCATGGTCGGACTTGACTGCCGTCATGATAAGTCGGGATTCTCGCCCAGGGACGCTTGGTTGTCGCAGGGTCAGTTATATAATACGCCATGGACTTAACGACCACACGCTCGAGGCACTTTTCGTCGAACTCAATGTTGACAGACGCAAGTTGGTCCATCATCCCTGGGATCTGTCAACAGCTCCTCGGCTATACGTTATTTAACAATACCGACAAGCAAGTTTTACATCAGCCATCGCTTGATCAAGCTCTCCACCGCCGATATTGTTGTGATTACCGGCGAACCAAACTTGTCGCAAATCAGTCGAACTACGATTGCACTCTAGACGTTCCCAGACGGCAGGCTGGAAGCAAGATCGTGTCTCGTCGAGGGCAAGAGCCTGAAACGCATGCTCGATGTGGACTGATAGATTCGTGTCCCAGAAGTGGTACATTTCGTCCCTGAAGGATACGCCAAGTTCGTGAAGCTTATTCAGGAGGGCAATTCGCGGGACCCCAAGGCTACCGACCGTGTCCCAGTAGGCTATGGCCTTGACCTTGATTAAATCTCGGGTGCCCCATGTTCTGCCAGACTCGTGTAAGGCCAAGCTGCTGAGTGTCAGCAAGTAAAGTCTTTATGGTAGGGTTGGCTCAAGAGTACAGCCTCTAGTCTGGCTCGGTAGATTTCGGCAGCGCCATCTCCATGCGGTTTATTGCTGAAAGGCTTGTCTGGGAACTTATCCCCGTACTTCTTTCCACCTTGAGGGCTTTTCCAGTTCTGCATATCGTTGAATATGGGGTAGAACATCTCGACACCCTCGCGCGTCAGAAGGCCTAGCTTCGAGATCATTCCCGCTACCGAGCGAGCCGCGAAAGCGCCGCGTGAGAATCCGATAAGAATGACCTCGTCGCCGTCAGAATAGTCGGCAGCCAGGAAACTATAGGCTTCCTTGACTCGCTGCTCGGTAGGTTAGATGAGCGTAGGCCAAACATGCATTCGTAGATGGGCCTTTCTCTGCCATAGAGATGCCTGAACCAAAGGCTCCACCGATCAAAGTGTCCGCTGTGTTGCTCCTTGTACCGATACCAGACTGGTAGTTGACAATCTGAACGCGACCATCATCGCACGTGCGCTTAAAGCATCTCGATATGCGAGTGACGTTGGAAGAGACCTGCAAAGCCCCGCTCCTCTTGCCGAAAATTGGCTTGTTGTATCCGTCGTCGCTGTTGAAGCATGTTCCATCGCAGCAGACGATGAGTCTCTTGGGAGTGAATCTTACGCTGGCCATTGCATGATACGCGTCTTAAGGATATAAAAGTCATAGGGATCGACATGTGGATGCGTTCGTGAACTCAAATGAGATGTGAAGTGATATAGTTCTTAAGAAAAAGACTTTCGTTACTTCCTGTGGCTGGTGGTCCAGTGATTTTGAGTATTTAGATTGGAAGGATTGACCAACTCAAAGCGACACTTGCCCTGTCCTCGTTCTTCAATTCCCACTTAGGCACCTTAAGGTACCTCACCCAGGTACCTAGGCAGGCAGGCAGGCAGGCAGGTCAGTTGGATCGCCTCAAGGCGCACGTTCGAGAACCCAGTCGAGTAGTCCCCAGCAGAGTTTAGCCCCTAAAACTACAGTCTCGCTTGTATCTACATCTTCTTTTTGGTGGCCGCTATCTAAGTACCATGCTTGATATAGCCTTCTTGTTTTTAAATCGCAGTACAGACGCCTGGCGTAAGAGTTGTTCTGCGCGTCACGACAAGAATACTGCGGAGTTGTAGTTCTTTTTCGAGCCACATTTGCTCATGCCTATCAAAAATATTACCCGCCACCTCGCGACGTCCTCGCTTTTTGAGTATAGTGGAAACGTCTGAATAAATCTTCTCCACATGACACAAGAAACCGGAGTCCAAGATATTGCAGACTTCGCCGTCGATAGAGCGGACACCCGGAAATTTGTCGTAGCGATTGCTTCAGTGCAACGACCTTCGGACACTGTAGACAGGGCGGGGCTATGGTGCGCTAATACAGTATATACGAATAGATTTTCACACTGTATCTAACACGTGGGATTTTAAGCTCCAATTTCAACCTCAACCTCAGTCCTGGGCATCTCCAGCGACTTTACAGCCCATCACACACCAAACACCTGAATCAAGAACCCAACATGGCACTGCCGGCGCCCCTGCTAGAGATAATAGCTTGTGCCATGAAGGAAACAGCCCCCTCGAAATGGTGTCAGGCTTTCTTCGCCATCGCAGCAATCACCGCGCTATCTGTCCAACTGATTCCCAAGGCCTCTCAATCCCTGCTCCTTGACTACGGCCCTCGCGCAACACAGGCCAAGTACGGCGCCCCCGGAGACCAAGTGGGCTGGCTCTACACGAGTGTCCGACTCGTCACGGCGGTGCAGGTGCCGCACTCGTGGTTCAATCACTTTTACGCCGCGTCCGTGGCGGCATCTGCCTTTTGGGCATACCAGTACTTCGCTGGCAGGTCCTTGTTATTGGCAATAATCACGAAGCAGGCAGCTGTGGAGGGCCCTTCCATGGGGAAGGAACAGGTCTGGCTAGTGTGGATTTTGATGGCTCTGCAAGGTGGACGCAGACTGTTCGAGTGTTTCTATGTCATGAAGCCGTCCCGTTCAACAATGTGGATAGGTCACTGGGCTTTGGGCTTGATTTATTATCTTGACATGAGCGTTGCGATCTGGATCGAAGGATCACGTATGTTCCACCGCATGGCACCCCGGCTGGCTACTAACCATGCTGCAGGTTCACTCTTGCATTCCAAGGCAGACACTGCAGTGTCAAGTGGCTTCTCAACCTCCCAGCTCGTGGGTATCGCCATCTTTACCACAGGATGGTTGCAGCAGCACAAATGCCACCAGTATCTGGCCAGTCTGAAGAAGTACACCTTGCCTGAAGAGGGACTATTCAGGCACATCGTGTGCGCTCATTACACCTGCGAGTGCCTCCTATACGGCGGACTCGCCATGGCCGCAGCCCCAGCTGGACGGTGGTTCAATCGTACGCTCATCTGTGGCTCTGGTTCGTCATTGTCAACCTGAAT